TTTTTTGGTCCAAATTTTTTTGGTCCAAATTTTTTTTGGTCCAAATTTTTTTGGTCCAAATTTTTTTGGTCCACTTTTTTTGGTCAAAATTTTTTTGTCAATTTTTTTTGGTCCAATTTTTTTTGGTCCAAATTTTTTTGGTCCAAATTTTTTTGGTCCAAATTTTTTTGGTCCAAATTTTTTTCGTCCAAATTTTTTTGGTCCACTTTTTTTTGGTCAAAATTTTTTTTGGCAAATTTTTTTTTGGCAAAATTTTTTTGTCAATTTTTTTTGGTCCAAATTTTTTTGGTAGGAATTTTTTTGGTAGGAATTTTTTTGGTACAAATTTTTTTGCTCCAAATTTTTTTCGTCCAAATTTTTTTGGTCCACTTTTTTTTGGTCAAAATTTTTTTTGGCAAAATTTTTTTGGCAAATTTTTTTTGTCAATTTTTTTTGGTCCAATTTTTTTTGGTCCAAATTTTTTTGCTCCAAATTTTTTTGGTAGGAATTTTTTTGGTAGGAATTTTTTTGGTAGGAATTTTTTTGGTAGGAATTTTTTTGGTAGGAATTTTTTTGGTACAAATTTTTTTGGTCCAAATTTTTTTGGTCCAAATTTTTTTGGTCCACTTTTTTTTTGTCAAAATTTTTTTTGGCAAAATTTTTTTGGCAAATTTTTTTGGTCCAAATTTTTTTGGTCCAAATTTTTTTGGTCCAAATTTTTTTGGTCCAAATTTTTTTGTTCCAAATTTTTTTGGTATAAATTTTTTTGGTCCAATTTTTTTTTGGTCAAAATTTTTTTGTATAAATTTTTTTGGTCAAAATTTTTTTAGTCAATTTTTTTTTGGTAAAAATTTTTTTTGGTCAAAATTTTTTTCCAAATTTTTTTGGTCCAATTTTTTTGGTCCACTTTTTTTTGGTCCAAATTTTTTTGGACAAAATTTTTTTGTCAATTTTTTTTGGTAGGAATTTTTTTGGTCCAAATTTTTTTGGTCCAATTTTTTTGGATCACTATTTTTTGGTCTAAAATTTTTTGGACAAAATTTTTTTGTCAATTTTTTTTTGCTCCAAATTTTTTTTGGTCCAAATTTTTTTGGTCCAAATTTTTTGTCCAAATTTTTTTGGCCCAAATTTATTTGGCCCAAATTTGTTTAGTCCAAATTTTTTTGGTCCACTTTTTTTTGGTCTAAATTTTTTTGGACAAAGTTTTTTTGTCAATTTTTTTGGTAGGAATTTTTTTGGTCCAAATTTTTTTGGTCCAATTTTTTTGGTCTACTTTTTTTTGGTCTAAATTTTTTTGGACAAAATTTTTTTGTCAATTTTTTTTTTGTCCAAATTTTTTTTGGTCCAAATTTTTTGGTCCAAATTTTTTTGGTCCAAATTTTTTTGGTCCAAATTTTTTTTATTCCAAATTTTTTTGGACAAAATTTTTTTGTCAATTTTTTGGACAAAATTTTGTCAATTTTTTGTGGTCCAAATTTTTTTGGCCCAAATTTATTTGGCCCAAATTTGTTTGGTCCAAATTTTTTTGGTCCAATTTTTTTGGTCCACTTTTTTTGGTCAAAATTGTTTGGTCCAAATTTTTTTGGTCAAAATTTTTTTGGACAAAATTTTTTTGGTCCAAATGTTTTTGGTCCAAATTTTTTTGGTCCAAATTTTTTTGGTCCAAATTTTTTTGTTCCAAATTTTTTTGGTCCAAATTTTTTTGGTACAAATTTTTTTGGTCCAAATTTTTTTGGTCCAAATTTTTTTTGGTCCAAATTTTTTTGGTCCAAATTTTTTTGGTCCACTTTTTTTGGTCAAAATTTTTTTGTCAATTTTTTTTGGTCCAATTTTTTTTGGTCCAAATTTTTTTGGTCCAAATTTTTTTGGTCCAAATTTTTTTGGTCCAAATTTTTTTGGTCCAAATTTTTTTCGTCCAAATTTTTTTGGTCCACTTTTTTTTGGTCAAAATTTTTTTTGGCAAAATTTTTTTTGGCAAAATTTTTTTGTCAATTTTTTTTGGTCCAAATTTTTTTGGTAGGAATTTTTTTGGTAGGAATTTTTTTGGTACAAATTTTTTTGCTCCAAATTTTTTTCGTCCAAATTTTTTTGGTCCACTTTTTTTTGGTCAAAATTTTTTTTGGCAAAATTTTTTTGGCAAATTTTTTTTGTCAATTTTTTTTGTCAATTTTTTTTGGTCCAATTTTTTTGCTCCAAATTTTTTTGGTAGGAATTTTTTTGGTAGGAATTTTTTTGGTAGGATTTTTTTTGGTAGGAATTTTTTTGGTACAAATTTTTTTGGTCCAAATTTTTTTGGTCCAAATTTTTTTGGTCCAAATTTTTTTGGTCCAAATTTTTTTGTTCCAAATTTTTTTGGTATAAATTTTTTTGGTCCAATTTTTTTTTGGTCAAAATTTTTTTTTGTCAAAATTTTTTTAGTCAATTTTTTTTTGGTAAAAATTTTTTTTGGTCAAAATTTTTTTCCAAATTTTTTTGGTCCACTTTTTTTTGGTCCAAATTTTTTTGTCATTTTTTTTTGGTAGGAATTTTTTTGGTCCAAATTTTTTTGGTCCAAATTTTTTTGGTCCAATTTTTTTGGTCCACTTTTTTTTGGTCTAAAATTTTTTGGACAAAATTTTTTTGTCAATTTTTTTTGGTCCAAATTTTTTTTGGTCCAAATTTTTTGTCCAAATTTTTTTGGCCCAAATTTATTTGGCCCAAATTTGTTTAGTCCAAATTTTTTTGTCCAAATTTTTTTAGTCCACTTTTTTTTGGTCTAAATTTTTTTGGACAAAGTTTTTTTTGTCAATTTTTTTGGTAGGAATTTTTTTGGTAGGAATTTTTTTGGTCCAAATTTTTTTGGTCCAATTTTTTTGGTCCACTTTTTTTTGGTCTAAATTTTTTTGGACAAAATTTTTTTGTCATTTTTTTTTGTCCAAATTTTTTTTGGACCAAATTTTTTTGGTCCAAATTTTTTTTGGTCCAAATTTTTTTGGACAAAATTTTTTTTGTCAATTTTTTGGACAAAATTTTGTCAATTTTTTTTTGGTCCACTTTTTTTTGGTCTAAATTTTTTTGGACAAAATTTTTTTGTCAATTTTTTTTTGTCAATTTTTTTTTGTCCAAATTTTTTTTGGTCCAAATTTTTTTGGTCCAAATTTTTTTTGGTCCAAATTTTTTAGGACAAAATTTTTTTGTCTATTTTTTGGACAAAATTTTGTCAATTTTTTTTTGGTCCAAATTTTTTTGGTCCAAATTTTTTTGGTCCAAATTTATTTGGCCCAAATTTATTTGGCCCAAATTTGTTTAGTCCAATTTTTTTTTGGTCCAATTTTTTTGGTCCACTTTTTTTTGGTCAAAATTTTTTTGGATAAAATTTTTTTGTCATTTTTTTTTTGTCCAAATTTTTTTTGGTCCAAATTTTTTTTGGTTCAAATTTTTTTGGTCCAAATTTTTTTGGTCCAAATTTTTTTGTTCCCAAATTTTTTTGTTCCCAAATTTTTTTAATAAAAAATTTTTTTGGTCCAATTTTTTTGGGCAAAATTCTGATTTTTATGAAAATTGTTGAACTAAAAATTGTTTGCGATATCGATCTCTATAATTTTTGTTTATGTATGATTTTTCAAAAATGGACCGCAATGGAAAAATTGGAGGAAGAGTGCTAAATTTAAATTTTTCAGTATTTTCGTTTTCAATGAATATCTATATGTAGAAAAATGTTTCGAGATAGATGTATATATTTAGTTTATCCTCTAAATATTTATAGAGGTGCTGCAATAGGTTGTACAAAATAACCGGAAAAAGCCTATAATAACTAGATAGGAAAGTCATGTGTTGGACACATCAGATTATTTTTAGTTATGTTCGACTAATGGAATATTTTCAAATATTTTTCATAATTTTCTGTATCTGTTCTACTAACTTTTTCAGTATTTTTGACAATATTTTTTTTCAAAATTTTATTTAACTATTATATAATATTACTAAAGTTGTAAAACAAACGTTATTAGAGTATATTTAAATAATTATTATAAAATATGAAAGTTAGGAGAATAATTTTGATCCTCGTCGTCGCATCGTGAGATTAGGTGTTCACATGTTTCTACAAACTTTTTTTATTGTTCTCTTGATTTTTATATTTCAAATTAATTATTTAAACATGCTCCAATCGATTGTATTTGACTAATTGATTAATTTTAAATAATCTTCTATTTTCAGTTAATTATTTTCGATTAATCAAATATTTTAAAGTATTCTTCATACTTTTTCTGTTTCCGTTCTACTAACTTTTTCAGTATTTTTGGTAATATATTTTTTTAAATTTTATTTAACTATTAGGTAATTTGACCCGTCTTAGAATAGCTTCTGTTGCAAAGGATTTATGTATTCATAAAATATCATGTTAATAATAATAAGTGTCCTTATATTTATACAAATTATTTATTTGATCTAACGATCGTCTTGTGACTTTGATAATACAAGTGTAAATTAAAAATTTAAAAAAACCGACTTCAAAAACGTGCAGATGCCATCACCACATCTTAACCAAATTTATATGGGATCACCCCTGAGGTACCCCCTTACTAACAAAAAAAGAAGCATATAAATCGGACAAGGTGGTAAAGCATTATCGCTAAACATACATAAAAAATGAAGAGTTTGAGGATTTTCTCATGGACCCAACTTTTAGATTTTAACCAAATTTATATGGGACCACCCCTGAAGTAGCTCCTTTCTAACAAAAAAAGAATTATGTAAATCGGACAAGGTGGTAAAGCATTATCGCTAAACATACATAAAAAATGAAGAGTTTGAGGATTTTCTCATGGACCCAATTATTATATTTTGACTAAATTTATATGGGACCACCCCTGCAGTACCCCCTTTCTAACAAAAACAGAATCATTGAGTTTCTTATGTAAGAAAAAACAAAATTTTTTTGCTATCAGTATTAAATTTATCTTAATTTGATCTATCGACTGTAAATTTACCAACAAATGAATTCCAATTCTTTCAGAAATATGCAAGTAGGATATTGAACCATGTTTAATAATTCTTATCGACAATCTATTAAACTCTCCAACAATGACAGAAATATTGAAATAATCTCAGGATGTTGCAGTACGAATTCAAAGAAACATTTAGGATATAAAAGGTGGTAAGAACGAAAATTATTTGTAGTCATAAAATTTTAACAAAATGAAAACATTGGTATGTAGTTGTACAGTAGCGTGTTTTTGTGAATTTGAATTTTAGTGCGTGCACAAATAATATTTTTGGTTTTTCAATATGAGTTTAAATTCTGATGGGAAACAAAAATAATTTTATCATATTAAACCTGTCATATTTTTTTATCAAGATGTAATTGACTAATGAAAAATTTCAAATTTAAATTATCTATTAATTGTGATATCTTTCAGAAAATTAAGTTTTAATTACCTCATTTAAGAGCGGAGTCTGGCTATATCTTGAAAACTAATTATCGGGACAATTTCGGGATTAAGGAAAATACTTTAAAATATTTCTAAATTTGTAACTTTCCGCTATATCGAGTGATATATCATATAAAAAATATGTGTCTTCATAAAAAAATATCTATATAATTTTAGAGCTATAGTAGAATCGCAATCGACATGGAGTAATAAATCAAAATTTTATAGTAGTTTTACAGCACAGGTGGCTCAAACAAAATCTGTGATTTTAAAGAGCCGGCAGTTATAAGGTGTGTGGATTTTAAGAAATTTTCCTGTGCCGCCCGGTTTTCGTGGAACGTAACAAGGGCTACCATTATTGCAATCCCTTTTAAGACTCTGATAAGCGGACGGTTGGGTAAATTAGGGGGCATTTGTTTGTATTAACATTTTTCTGTTACTACTTTAAACTTTTGTAATTTAACCACTCACCCACGAAAAAATTTTTTTTTTTGTTTGGTTAAGGCCAATTTTTTGTTTTCTGTGTTTTATTGGTAGTTATCAAGAACTTGATAAATTCAATATTTTCACCATTTTTTTGACATGCTCCGGTTTTGCTTGCGTTTTTGCAGTCTTGTACGCTTTTGAGCTTTTTTTGGTGGTTTAGTTTCTGGCAGCGTTAATTGGGTGGTCTCAACAACAATATGATTATAACATTTAGACATAAAATAGATACGTTTACCTACTCTCGAGGATCCGGAAACGTGAAAATCTCTGAATCACTATATTCACTTGATGAATTATTTACTGATATTATTAAAGGTGGCACTGTAGTATCGACATCCAAGATTTTGTCCAGATTCCACATGTTTTCTTCTTCTTTTAACACATGTTCGATTGCCTTTTGCCTTTCCTTCGTAACAAATGATATGGAGGTTTCTCATAATGCTTCTACTTACATCTTTTAACTTAAATATCGTAGTATGCCGATCTGCATATCCTTTAACTTGTGCCCATATCAGTTCAATAGGATTTAGTTTGCAGTGATAGGGAGGAAGACGCACAATATCAACAGTGCAAGTCCATCCACTATTTAATTTCACAATTTCCAGTAGTTCTATTTTTATTGATTTTTCTGGAAGTGAATGTTTTTGTCTGTTAGTCACTTAATGATATCATCTTTCTATCATAAAGTATTTGGCACACGTCCAATTAGACGGGAATGGTAACTAACGTTATCCATTACTATAACTGAACCCTTTGGTAAATGTTCTATCATCTGCTGAAAATATTCTTCAAAAACGTGTTACGGTTATAAATTGGCTAAAGTTCATTGTCTTCATATTTTGAAAATACCGTTTTCATTATTTGGATATTCGTTAGAAATCGTCTTTCGTGGAGTATATAGAATCAAATATATTTCAATGTAATCTTGGACAGCTGATTGTTTCGTAGTACATCGAAATCTTTGCAAAGTTGCCAAATGTCTATTGTAAATTAGTCAACAAGCTTTGGCTAAATCCTATTTTACTTCGTGAGGACTTTATGTATTTTTTTTAAATAGCGACATTTTATTAATTGAAAATATTTTCTATAATAAATTGTTAGGTATGGTGCAATTGGTATAGTATTTATTCGCTATATTGAAGTTTAACCGACTTTCTTGGCTCTGACGTCATTAAGTATATATGTGAACTGCATAATTTGGCAACATTGTCTTTTCTTTTTATTCGATTGGAGTTATTATTTTTTGTAAAAGGTGGATATGTTCCTCTAATTTTGGAAATATAATAATTTTTCTGATTAATCCCAGTTAGTTTTGTGTTTTGGTTATCAAATTGTGTTCTCTCCTTGCTAACCAGGACTGCTACGATTTATTATCTTGTGAAATTTGTGTTCAGAAGTAAAATCACGATCCTCCGATATTATTTCGGTCCAAAAGAACAACAAAATGTCTCTTGTTGGAATAACAGATGCGCATCGGGGAAGAATTATTGCTCTCATTGAAAAAGGAATGTCCCAATGAGATAACAGAGGAAGTAGGTGATACCTAGAGTGTTGTATCGAAAACACATGAAAGGTACTTGAAACTAGAAACTCTCAAGAACAAGCCCAGACAAAATCGTTAAAGAGTGACAAATGAATAAAAGAACCGCTTTAAGTGCCAAATTGCTAGAAGAAATCACAGTGTTTCTCATCCAGAACTACAACGACAATTTCTAAAGCTATAGGTGTAAACGTTTCAGTTGAAACCCTAAGAAAGGACTTCGCGCTTGAGGATTGTACAGTACGAAAGAGTTACGGATCCTACCGTTATCTAGGCAAATAGGCAAAATAAAATTGACTGGCTAAATTGCTACCTTAAACACCAAAACTGGACAATTGAGAATTGGCAAAATCTTCTTTTTTCGAATGAGACCAGAATTGGCCTAAGATCAGATGACCATCGAATTCGGGGTCCTAGAGATCCAGGAAGATGAGCGAGACTCCACGCTGCCAGTCTGTCCCAAGATATCAGGGAGGAACTGTAATGTTCTGGAGCGGTATTATGCTTGGAGCAAAAACTCCATTGTTACCACTTCAACAAATTTTAACCGGTCCGAGGTATGTTGATGTAGTTCTGAAACCAATCTTTAGGCTTTGGAGAGCTGCAGTTGTAGATAATTTTATCTTTATACACGATAATACACCTCCCCATATCAGCAGAGTGGCTAGAGAATGTCTTAAAACGAAAGGTGTTACAGTTCTAGACTCGCCTGCATGTTCACCAGACCTAAATCCTATCGAACACTTGTGGCTCAAAAGAAGGATTAGAGCTCGTCGAAACAATGTAGAAAATGTCGTACAGCTTATTGATGCAGCATAAGCAGAATGGGAAAACATACCCCAAGACAATGTTAACAGTTTAATAAGAAGCATGGCAAGGCGAATAGAAGCTTGCATATGGGCTAGAGGTGGTAACACGGATTATTAAAATTACCAATTTTCTCTTTGTTTTTGCCTTTCGGCTACTAAAAATTTAAATCTCAATTCGTTTCAGAAACCAAAAAAACACGATTGTGTTTATTTTGTCAACTAATTGATTATTTTAATTGCCATGTGGGTTATTTGTCATTTAAAGTCTTTGATAAGGACTGAGTATTATTTATAAACCAAAAATGTTCATACGTCTCAAAAGTTATGAAAATTAATAGATGATTCCATATAAGTTTGGTTTTGTGTATTTATTAAATAGTGATTAAACACTTTTAAATTATTGTAAAATATCTTATTTATCTTAATTAATTATATTTTAGAGTTCTTTGGTCCTATTTACCTTATTCGTCATTTCTACGTGCCAATATACAAATAGACCAGATCCAAACTATAGAGAATCAAAAATTGTGAAACATGAAAATAACATAGGACTATCAAACTACAACTTTTCGTAAGTATTACCAATTATAAACAAAACACTTTTTTTTCTACACCCACATAGATATTATCTAATTAACGCATAGACTACAAATCAAAAAAGTATGTTATTGCGTTCAACTGAAAGAATATATTTTATTTCTATTATAGGTAGTGAGAACACTGCAAAAAAATAAATCCATCAATCACAGTTCATATTTTGGACACCCAACTATTATTTCTAAAATTTTAAATAATAATTGACAATTCTGTCAAACTAATTGTCGGTATATTTTATAATTATTGAGAATAAATACGAGGCGTGGCTATAAAATAACGAGATTGTTGCTCATAGAGAAAAAGTACGCATGCGTCAAACGCGAGCGATTAACAGCTGTGTAGCGTGAAGCGGAGGAATGATAGTTAAGAGTTGCCTATGAAGACTAGAGATAAGGAGGCAAATCGGCATGCTCAAAATACGGTCCCAAAAATCACACGTCAATTGAGCTTTTATAATTAACCGCATGGGCGCTGGTACGGTTTACGTAGTTCAAAATACATGGCCTCTTATGGGAATTATACATAATTTTGACAAAATAATAAAAATATACTTGTTTATAGCTAAATAAAGCACAGAACATAGTGTTGTATTTATTTCTAAATAAGTCTTACATATTTTAATTGATACATTATTTACTATTTATTCCTATTTGAGTAAAATGCAAATTATTGATGATGAGTGTTGTGTGTTGATGTGTAGGGCTAATTATTTTTAATTAAAGCATAATAGGGCTGAGGGCATACTAAGACACGGTTTAAATGAAAATATTTAGTTAGGGATTTTACAAAATTTTATGAAAATAATAAAAATAAAATTGTTTATTGCTAACTAAAGCACAGAAAATACTGTTATTATAATTATTGTAAATAAGTCTTTGTTTTAATTGTTAACTAAAGTACAGAACATACTGTTGGTATTAATTATAAATGAGTCTTTATGTTAAACATTTTTTACTATTCATTATTTAATTTTATCTAAATAAAATGAAAATTAGGTATGACCAAATTTGAAAAGGTTTGTTAAATGGTGAAATTTGGCAAAAACAGTTTTGTGGTAATTTTGTATTCGACAACTACAATTTCATGATCCCGGTGAAAAGTTTCTTCAGCAATAAGTTCTAGTATTTTCTTTTTTTTTTTGTTCTAACAAATTTAGTTCGGTTCAATGGTGGTTTTCGTCTTTTCCTAATACTGGACAAATATGAAGGAAGATTCGGGAATATACATGGTATTGCTTCGTTCTTTAATCTCGGCCTTTCCCTTTTTATTTTGTTAACAGTACTATTAGTTAAAA